CTGTCTCCAAGAGATGATTGTCAGGTGGCTCCTACTTGAAAACATGCAGGTAATTTTCGACCCATCCTAGGAATTTCTCTCCCTTCATAGTCCAGAGGACAGCCCTAAAGCTAATTGGAGGGCAGAATTTAGCTGAATATTTGGCAAAGAGAACAAAGAGCCGTTCCAGTGTCAATCCAGTTTTCAGGGCTAACGGCTCTTCCTGGCTGAAGCTCCTCAAGGTAAAACATTTGCAGATCAGCCTGAAAAATAAGAGGTAACCAAATCGAAGCCCAGCTGGGGTGACAGGATCCGGCTGAGTTTGGCTGATCTTGGACATCTAAGCAGGGTTTATCTGTACCTGATGTTGGGGAAGGTCAGTTGCGGGGCTTTGCTTGCGGGTAACCTCAGATCGCAGGGCACCTAGTGAAAGATCTCCAAGGAGGAACTCAGAGCCAAGCTGTGTAAGCCTTGCAGGGCTGAGTTCCCATCAGCGGATCCAACCACCAAGCCCACCCTGGGTGTTCTGTTGGGGAGGGACACCAGACGGCCAACCTACCAAGGAAGGCCCTCTTGGCAGTCCCTCTTCCTCTGCCTAGTTTAGCTGGCATGCCACACGTCCATCTCCTTGACCTCTAGACCGTGGGGTTTCCAAGGAGTCCTTCCAACAATCCCAGATGCTCATGAGCAGCTCGAAGCCAAGATGGAAAGAACTCCAACGCTTTCCAGACCAGGAGGACCAGCTCAAAGACCTGCAGCCTTACGAACAGCCTCTCTGTGGGCCTCCCCATCTGGGTGGCAACTGGATGGAGGGGGTTCCTTGAAGGTTGGGCTAGATGAGCATTTTCAAAGGGGCTCACATATTTTCTGGCGTGGGATTTTTTCCGGTGGCAAAAACAACAAGGAGGCAGGGGGGAGAATGGAGAGCGTCGTGCAAATGCCTGGAGATGCGTTTTGTGGCTTCGCAACATTATGTGGCTGTTTGTTTTATTTTGATCATTTTGCTGTTTTGTTTGGGGGGGGGGGGGGATAGCAGCCAATTTGTTTTCTTGCTATTTTTGAAGTGTTAACTCCCCCCAGAAGTT